CGTGAACCCGACCTGGCAGCCCTCCCGCTCCTCCCGCTTCTCGGAGCTTCTCGGAGCCCCGGGGCATGTAAGAGGCTGTTGGGACACGTCGGTGCTGAGTGGTCGCCTCTTTATAAGATGCAACCTTCCCGGCGGTTTCCTGTGGAATTACCCGAGGGCCCGCCCTCTCAGGAACATCATCTATTCCTGGTTAGCATCCCAGCTCCACGCCCACCTCCTCCTTCCTCCTCTCCATCGCGGGACCCTCCCTGCCCCTCCGCCTGCCCGGGCCTGGCGTGAGGTCCCCTGGCCCTGGTTCCGCTGAGATGCATCCAGGGGGTCCGGGATGGGTGGCCCATCCTGCCTTTGAGAGAGGAGCCTGTGTCCCCGGGACTATGAGGGCTCCGAGGCCCTCAGGGCTGGGTGTGAACCTGGGTAAGTTCCTCGGCCTCTCAGAGGGTTTACGGGTTTACACGGTAGGAGGCGGCCTCGCCCCTCCCCGGCCTCAGGCCCTGCCCCTGGCTGGCCCCGCACCTCCCCGGCAGGAAGCCCAAGGAAGGGAAGGGAACCAGGGTGACAGGGCATCTCCAGGACAGGCTGCCCGGTCACTGGGGCTGAGCCAAGGGCCCAGAGCTGGCAGCCAGCGCCCAGGCCCCTCTTCAGGACGCTCAGCCCTCCTCCCCCTCTCCTTCCTCTTTGAGCCTCTAGCTTCAAGTTCCAGTCCGCGCTGCCATCCTTCGAGATTGCTTTTAAACCTTCAGCTTCTCATGGACCTGAAGCCCTAGAGGGCCCCACCTCCCCCCGAGACACGCCACAGACGGAGCTGCGGCCCTTCCCCAGGGCAGGGAGGGCGCTGCCCCGGGGACCTGTCCACTCTCCACAGCCGCGCCTCTGGCCCAGACCCCTGCCTTTCCTTAGGAAACAGATGTTAATGCCAGGGGTCCGTAGTGAGGGCCACGGGCATGCAGGAGGCGGCCTGGCTGCAGCATCACATCTCTGCACCTGGGCTCTGGGCGTGGGTTTGGCTGTGGGTCAGGAACGGCCCGGGAGCCGGGTTCTTACCGGCTCCTTCCTCCCAGCCCCGCCTCCTTCCTCCCAGCCCCGCCTCCCTCCCCAGAGGCGAGGCTCAGCCTGGAGCAGGCCCAGGGTGCTTTGCTCACCTTCCGGAGCTCGCAGAGCCGCGCGAGCCACTGGCTCTGGGAAGGACCCTGGTGTCCTCTGCCCAGGAATGACCTGTGGCTGGAGTGCCACCCTTCCTGCTCTGAGCAGCTGCGGCCAGAGGCCGGTACCTCCTGGGTGGGTGTTGACTCCAGCGTCAGCTGGACCTGGAGCGGACCTGGCTCAGAAGCCGGGCCCGAGACTCAGGTGAGGTGAGCTGCCCAGGTCTTTATTGAAACAGTTCCTGTTTTGCCCTTCAGGGATTTTAAAACTTTGATTGACAAAATATATTGTTTGTCTTGGTTCCTGAGTTTTGGAGCAACCCCGTCAACTGTGTGCCTTAGGCAAGGCCCTTACCTGCCTCGCCACCGTCCCAGCCCTGCTGTGGGGCCCCCTTCAAACACCTGAGCCTCAGTCATCACCTGCTCCCTGTGAGGACGCAGGTGGGCCTGGGAGTGGCAGTGCCCTGTCCTAGAACAGCCACGGGCACAGCAGAGCCTGCTGCCTGGCAGGTTGGGGCGCCCAGGCTGGTCTCCCTAGCCGCCTCCCGCCCCGCTCCCCCACCCCAGACAGAGGTCAGCTCCCCCTTTGCCCAGGCCCTTCCAACCAGAACCAGTTTTCCACGCGGAGCGGGGAGCGGGTAGGTGGTACAGGCCAGGCCTGGGTGCGGTATCGCTTTCTCAAACAGATGGGTGGGACCAGGCTTTGGAGGATTTGTGGGCTTCAAGGTCATGCTGTTCTCAATCATTTTTGCTGGTTTGGCCCCAAACCCACGGAGCTCCTGAAACCAGAGAGGCTATTCTTTTCCTCCGCCCTCCGCCCTCCCTCTCACACACGCAGGCTGCCCCTCCCACCCCACCCCCCGCATGCACATGCACACACACACACGGTGCGCAGGCTGGCTGCTGGCAATGTCAGAATGGAGCTCCCAGGGAACGCGGCGCCCATCCATCTAAGTCCCCTCATAGATTGCTTCCCATCTGTGGACTCAAGTGTACAGGTCACCTGGGTAAAGAGCCAACCTAGTTTTTGTTTTATTTATTTATTTATTTTAAAAATACACTTTTACTGATTTCAGAGAGGAAGTGAGAGGGAGGGAGAGATAGAAACATCAGTGATGAGAGAGAGTCATTGATCTCATTGATGGGCTGCCTCCTGCTCCCCAGCACTGGGGATCAAGCCTGCCACCGGGCATGTGCCCTGACCAGGGATTGAACCATGACCTCCTGGTTCATAGGCGGACGCTCAGCCCCTGAGCCACGCTGGCTGGGCTGTTTACATTCTTTTAATGAGTTCAAGCATCAGAGGTTTTCAGAGTAAAAAGAAAGGAAGCAAAGGCGCGGTTTGGCTCCAGGAGGAAAACGCAGGAGAAGGCGTGTGACGGGAAGCGCAGGCCGGGCTGGCTGGACGCAGGCCCACCGGGGCGGCCCCGAGCTGCTGGTCTGCCTGCTGCCATGGAGACGTGCTTCCTCTGAACCCCCGAATCTGTGGTCTCCAGACCAGCACCGGCTGGGGAGCGGGGATGGGTGGACCGCAGCGCCAGGCCTTCTCTGTCGGGTCCGGGGACTCCCGGGACGGGCCTGGGCTCCTCGGCCCGTGAGCTGTGCTTTCTCGTCAGGCCCGGCCAGGCGCAGGAACTGCCTGTCTGGTTCTTTGCTGCCGTCGCTGCCAAAACCCTGCACAGCAGCCAGATTCCAGACCCCACCCCCTCGCTTTCTCCTTACCAAGAAAATTATTAATTATCTGGTTTTATGAGAGAGAGAGAGAGAGAGAGAGAGAGAGAGAGAGAGAGGCAGTGAGAGAATGAATGAGGTTTGGGCTTTGGTAGAAAGCCCTGGCCACGCCAGCAGAGGGATCTGGAAATAGACGGGAGCCAGTGGGGGGTTCGGCATGAAAAGAAAGCTGACCTCCAGCCAAGAGGTCTGCTCCGCCCCCGTGGGCTCCTCCTCTCGCGGGACTGCAGTCTGCCCAGGTCCCGTGCCCCAAGGCTCCCCGCAAGGCCTTTGCTGCCCCTCCTGCCCGCGCACCAGCGTGGGCACCGCCTCCCTCCCGCTGCAGAGGGGACTTCCAAGAATTCCAGGCCGACCA